GCAATCATACAATAAAGATAATAGAAGAATGTTATCATATAAAAACCAAGTTTAATCCAACCTTCACGTTGTGCTAAACTTAATATATGAGCATTCATTATTGTTGTTGGATCGTATATACCAAATCCAGTCATTATTGTCCGTGTACGAAATTTATTAATATGATATGCTATTAATGGTATATTGAAAAATAATGTTAACCATTCACCACCAAAAAGAAATAGAATATTAATAAAAATATGTGTTCCATATTCAGGAATAATTAATGGATTTAATGATCCACATTGATCAATAGGATTTTTATGATCATTTTTTAATTCATCAAATGCAATTATCTATTTAGAATAAGAAATTTTTCTTTTGATCTATTTTTAATAAAAAAAACGGAAGACATAACTTACATGCCATATAGCGAAAAAGATAAGTAATGCTGTAAGAATTAGTGCAATAATATAGGCTAAAGCGACAAATGTAAATGCCATATTGAATTTAATTATTAATGAATGAAATTGATTAAGTTCTGCTTGTTTGTTTTGCTACTTTTGTCTCAGAAAAATAATTAAAGACACAAATTAGACTGGACTGGACTTTTAATAAACAAATAGAGACGTTGATCTTGATTAGTCTTTTTATAGCGTATAGAATTTTAGCGCTATGAACAAATGAAAATGTACTTATTCATTCTATGTTTTAAGTGGTTGTTGTTATTGACAAATTAATGTGTCGTGAACAATGATGATTGGATATTCTCAATAGTATCAGTTGTCTATTTATTTATGTAGAAATTTTCTTTGCAAAGTGATGTATGAATCACTATATGAGTGACACGTATAACGATCATTTTATTTCGTATATATTGATGAAGACTTGATTGCCTTTTCTTTCACTTCTATACACATTTTCTTTTGCTTCAGATACGAATGACTTTAAAAATTTGTTTCATATTTATTATTCTATTTTTCTATGGTTGTTATATAAATAAAATTTCTGCCAATGAAGAATGTCAATTATCTCGTAATAATGATATGGTCGACGATTGTAATTGTTATATATCAGATTTAAATCAACTTAATAATCAACGTTTACAGCCATTATTACGTCAAATAGTAAAAAAGAATTATTTTCGATTTTTTCCAGTTAATCTTAAAAAAACATGTCAATTTTGGCCTACTGACGGTCAATGTTCACTTCGTACATGTGCAATAAAATCATGTCCGATTGAAAAATTACCTGAAACATTACGTGATTCATTTAATAATAATAAACTAAATCGTTTAATAAATACAAAACAAGATGAACAAAATAATGAAATACAATGTTCAACAATAGATACAAATTCAACTCTTGGTTTAGTTGATACAAATTTAAGTGAAGAACATAAAAAAACTATTGAAAATTGGATGAAATTTGATGATGTACAATCAGAAAATTTTTGTGATGTTGATGATGAAACATCAACTAATCTTGAATATATTGATTTATTAGCTAATGTTGAACGTTATACTGGTTATACAGGTATATCAACACAAAGAATATGGTCAGCTATTTATAATGAAAATTGTTTTTTTCTACCTGATTCAAAACTTTATTATGAATTAAGACAAAAACGTTTAAATGCTAATAAATTATGTCTTGAAGGACGAACATTTTATCGTCTTGTATCAGGACTCCATTCAAGTATTAGTATACATTTATGTGCACAATATTTTTTTCCAATACTTGGTGGTGGTTATTCAGGTACTGATGGACGATGGGCACCTAATCTCGAGGAATTTAAACGTCGTTTTTCTCCTGAAAGAACAGATGGAGAAGGTCCAATATGGTTAAAAAATCTTTATTTTATTTATTTAATTGAATTACGTGCGATTTATAAGGCACGTGATTATTTACAAAGTCAAACATATTTTACTGGAAATCAGACTGATGATTTACATACAAAACAATTAATAACAAATTATTTATTAAAAGAAATAGAACCATTTGCCAATCATTTTAATGAGAATGATTTATTTAAAAATGGTAATGAACAATTAAAAGTTGGATTTAAAGAACATTTTCATAATATAAGTCGAATAATGGATTGTGTTGGATGTGATAAATGTAAATTATGGGGAAAATTACAAATACAAGCATTGGGTAAGAAGAAAGAAAGCTAGCAATATAGTATTATTCATCAGTGGTTGTTTGTTTTTTTTGAATAACTTTTGATGGGAATAACGAAGTGAGCTAAGGTTTTCATTATTCATTAGAGGATATTAGTGGCTATGGAAGTAAGTCGAAATCGACATGATCAGCATTTAAACAACCAAGTGACACTTTTTAGCGACGATTTTGAAAATGATATTCTGAAATCATTTCGCATTATCTTTTTGATTAATAATATGACCAATCGGTAGAGAAAATTTTTCTCTTTCGATCTATCTAAACTTAAACTTCGTAGACACGTTTCTTGCAGAGGTGCAAGAAATATCTTGCGACTCTCTGATTTCCGTAAATTGATCTTGAAGGGCTTCATAAGAGCTCCAAACCAGAGTAATTTATTATGCTGTGTCAAATACAGATGTTTGTTTCCAGTTTCAAAGTGACCTGTGAGCAGTATTTTTAAATTTTCAAAAATTTCATCAATACAGCTTCAAAATCGAAGTTTGAATAATGTTCAAACAGTGATTCCAGATCGCTTCGAAACTCAAAACACAGAGTACCATTTCATTCAACATGTTCAATGATGCTTGTCGGGAGTTTTTTGAAGTCTTACAAACAATGTTTTTAATGACAGAGTATATCTTGGAAAACAGAATATAGGGTACCTGAATGAAACAGAACTTACGCACTGTTTTAAGCCCTGAATAAAAAAATAGCGTGTGCGCTATACACACTGAATTTCATTTTCACACTTTGTTTTTTCTTTACAAGATTTTTCATACCTTTATACTTAAAAAAACCTGCTAAACAAATATCATAGAAATCGAATCAAACTCTCATATGCAATCCCAACTGCATGTATAGATGTTGAGTGCAAACAATACGATCAATTCATTAACAATCTCTACTGAATGCTCATCTTTTTTTGTTTTGAAAAAAGATCTGACCATCGAAAATAATAGTTATTTTCTGTACACTTTGTACATCTAATTCTACGAAACAGAGTGTGCGAATCAGATCTCGAACAAAGGTATTTGTACAAGTATTTGTCACGCTGACTTAGTACTTATACTTGGGCACAGGTACTTCATACTTATATAGGATGAGTCATAATCATTGCAACATCTAGTATTTTGCAAATTTTGAGATACAGATTACTAATTTAGGCCTCTCGACCCGGATACTGTTTGTCAAACTTTATAAACAATTGATGGTTTCGAAGAATGGCTTTTCTTTTGATAAACTCGAAAAATTGCCATTATTCGTTGTCATTACTCTATAACAGTAACTTCCCTCCTCTAGTGATAATAAAATGAAAAACTTTGTTTGATATAAGAGTAAGACTATTTTTTAGCATTGTTTTCATCTTTATTTCTCTCACATCAGAATACTAGGCCATTCCATCACAACATTGTACTTCACTTTTAGTCTTATAAAAAAATCACTCGACCAACTTGATAGGATTTCTCATTGTTACTATTGTGGAAAATTTCACGACTTATCTTTAAAAAAAGCAGGATTACACGATTTAGCTGTGCTAAGACATCTCGAAAATACTAGATGTTACAACCATTATCACTCACCCTATGTAGGTATCAAGTACTTGTCCTAAAATAAAAGTGCCAAGTCCTTTTTTCAAAGTACAAGTACAGGGGCAGGTTTATTTGTGCAAAGATCAGTAAACGTACATATCCATTTTTTAAAGTACAAATAAAATACTTTTACTTTCTGTACTTGTACTCGCTCTGGTACGGAGACATGATTTTCTGAAAAATATAGTAAACTCGTACATTTTATTTCTGACTCTCATTAGAAACATTGCTTTCAAGATTACTTTGTGAAAATCGGGAGCCTCAGGAAAACTTTTGTACCTCTCAAATATACGAGGCTACACAGTTGGAATCTATGTAGATGGAAAGGAAAGAGTATCCTCTATTCATTGGTCATATTACGCGTCAAAATCTGGTGAAAAATAATTTCAAAATCTCGTTTTCAAATCTTTCACTACAACTTCATCCGATCAATGTATTGTTGAGCAATCAGATTTCGACTTAATTTGATGACTTCGGGTATTGTCTCTAAGACGGGATAACCTTCAGCTCTCATCATCGTTCTTATCGAAAGTTAGGCAAAAACAATTATCAATATTCTTATTTTTGAATAGAAGAATAATTAGTGATCATTTTTAACTTTTTAATGCTTTTTCAGGTACAACATTAAAAATTCTTTTTGCCGAAAACCCAATACAATTACAACGTTCAGAACTTGTTTCACTTATTAATGGTTTTACTCAATTATCTACGAGTATCTATCGACTTGAACATACATTTAAAACATGTCTTAAAAAAAACACTGAACTGTGAGGAAAAGATTAAAAAGAATGGTTGAAAATGTATTTTGACACGTTTGCAATCTTTCTTTGTAAACGTTACCAGGATGTCATAGATACATGTTGTTTTCCAATAATTTGTTTATTTCATCGTTCTTTCTTTTGCGTTATAAGTTTTTTTCTTTTATGGCTAGAGAATTTGAGCTGCGATATATTTTTCTCGCTTTACAATGTTCTAGTCAGTCATAAATGTTTAAACGCTAGTGATTGCAATCAAAATTTATGCAGAACATAACTTGAGAAATGAACATATTATATTTTTTTAATGGTACCCGACGTATTTGTTCTTATTATTCTTTATTTGAGTAGATTTTTTGTTCATTTTGTTGTTATTGTCTTTTAATTGTATTTGTTTTTTTTTCTTGTTGTTGTTTATTGTTACGCAAACATTAACTTTTGATGATAAAATTTTTTTTTTCTTTCTTGCTCAAATATGAATAATCGACATGATTTGTATATTATTTTGCAGATGATCAATAGTGCTAGTGCTGCATCGTCACCGACAAGTACTCCGACAAATCCGAACAATCTTTCGAGTTTTGTACCATGTCCACATACATTTGTTGCTACAAGAGTTAAACAAAATCATATATGCGACAGTAGCTATTCCGATAATTCTCAACGACGAATTGTTCCACGTGTATGTCGTCTTCGAACAAATGATAATTCAATGGCTATTTATGCACTTGTTGATCCAATGGATACAAATATGATTGCATCTGATGTTTGTATTAATATGCTTGTAGAACAATTAAGTAAAGTATCCTTCGAAGATGAATCATATAAAAAGAAAATTAGTGATAATATGCAACAAATTTTTTATGAAACTGAAAATCGTCTATTACAAATGACATTTGATCATGCTGAAGAAAAAGCAACATTGACACACTCTAATGATATTACTGCTGAAAAATGTTTACCTTCATTAGGCGAAGCTCAGTCTGGTGCTTTTTTATTTGCTGCCACTGTTACACAATCATATGTTTACATTGCATATGTTGGTTAGTAAACTTAATAGAAAAATTTCCGTGTGTTTGATTTATAATTCTTTTACATAGGAACTATTCGAGCTTTTCTTATATCGAATAATAATGGTGAGTTACGTATAGGGGATAATCGACCACAATATTATCACGCTGGCTCATTACATACAATTGATAATGAGGATGAAAGCCTTCGATTAAGAAATCTTAATGTTAATCTTGAACAAGTTAGAAATGAAGGATTAGATAATAATCATTCTAAATTTACTCGATGCATTGGGTAAGAACTAGTTCTTTTTTTTTGTATACTAATGGTGTTGATATTTATTAATTTATAGAAAATTATCTGAAAAATTACTTTCATCAGCAGCATCAGCTAATGATGTTAATGAAGCACGATGTAATGCACTTATATGTGAACCAAGGTTTGATAAATTTAAACTTTTTCCTCAAGATTTTGCATTTGTTATGATGACTGATAAACTCTATGAAATGTATTTAAAAACAGGTATTTATTTATTCATATAAATAAAAGTAATTTTCAAATTTTATTGTATTTAGGTATTTCTGAACAAGATATTCCAACTGATTTTATTGGGCTTCTTAATGAGTCTATAAGTACATCTAACCCAGCACAACGTATTCTTGATAAAATTGAAGATCGATTTCAGAAGACGAATGATGGTATTAACGAGGACATTGCTCTTCAAGATATGGGTCTACTTATTCATTTTTTTCAACATCCAAAGAATATAAATCAACCTCCTCAATTTGTTATTACACCAAATACAATAAGACGAATCGTTGATGGTGAAGTTACTGTGGATGAAGTAAAAAATTTTATTACCAAACAGAATGATATACAACAAAAACGAGAAAGAAACCGTAATTCATCAAGAAGTGATAAACATAAACGTGAAAATCAAACACATTCTAGTACAATAGAACCATTTGTTCGATTTGATGTTTATGAAAAATTATTAAATGATAATGACGAATTACGTCAAGCAAACAAATTTATTACTGATCTTCTTTATACTCAGTCGACATCTGCTATGGATGAGGAATTAACTGAATTTTTGAAAAAAAATCCATCTTTAAAATGTGATTGAATACATTTTTGGTATTTGAATACGTCGGTTTTTTTTTTATTCTATTTTTATTTTCGATGTATTCAATGTATATTAAGAATTTTTTTTCTTCTTTGCAATATTTCATTTCAGATGTATTTTACATCTCGTAATCGATAATGCGTATTCGAGTTTTCACAGATAATTTCTGGTCAGTTGCATTCTTTTGTTCATTTATAACTGGATTCATTATCATTGTCTCTTGTTTAACAAAACGTCGTCGTCGTTATTTTCGTCATCATCGTCTTGTCGATGATGTACATCATTTATGGCCATTTGATGAATATCTAATACAACCAACTTTATGTAACGTTTGTTCATCAACTTTATTAACCGGTTTTCATTGTTTATCATGCGGAATTTATTTACATGAACATTGTGTACGTGCTGCTCGACGTCTTTTTCATTGTAAACATATGACAAGCGAACAAGAACAAATACAACATCAATGGACTCGAGGTAATTTACCATTAGATTCTGAATGTATTGTTTGTCGACGACCATGTGGAGCTGAACCAAGACTATGTGACTATCGATGTATATGGTGTCAACGTATTGTACATGACTCATGCATGAGAGCATTACCTATTGAATGCGATTTTGGTGAATTTCGACGTTTGATTATACCAGTAAGTATTTTATATCATGCTTTGAATATATATATATATATACTGATTTAATCTCTATTATTCTTTATTAGCCTAATGCTGTTGTTTCACGTACTGGAAATAAAAAAATTGTCGGATATGCTCATTCAGTAGTCGAACGTATTTTACCATGTAGTATTAGTGATTGGTGTCCATTGCTGGTTATTGGTAATAGAAAATCAGGTGGAGCTAATATTGATCTTGTTCTTAATTCATTTCGAACCTACTTAAATTCTGTACAAGTAAGATACATTTATTATTTAAATATTTAATTAATGTTTAATCTTTTCATTATTTTGTGTGATATTTAGGTTATTGATATTTCAACAATTTCACCTGCTTCAATTCTTGAATGGTGTAATTCACTTCCAAATATTGGATTTTATATTCTTGTATGTGGTGGTGATGGAACAGTTAATTGGATTTTAGAAACTATTGAAAATACAACACCAGGAGTAAGTGTACATACTTGAATTCAATAGGAATCTATTATTTTTCTTTTAGATAAAACCTGCTGTTGGTATTCTTCCAATGGGTACAGGCAATGATTTAGCTCGTATTTTAGAATGGGGTGATGGAGAAGATTCAGCTGTTGATGTTAGTGAGTATTTAAAAAAATTAATGAGTGCTAAAGTTGTTGCTCTTGATCGGTAAGGTTTTTTTTCATAATCTCTATATAAAAAATAAATTTTTCTCTGATAAGATGGGCAGTAGATATTTGTGCAAATGCCCGACATTTTGGAGTAGCAACAGCCAGTGCACGTGTATGTCTTTGATTATCATTAAATATTTCTCTTATGTAGATCATTTTCTTTTCTTTTTTTTATAGCATATGCGTATGTCAAATTATTTTTCAGTTGGTTGTGATGCATTGGTTACACTCAATTTCCATCGTCGTCGTGATAAAATACCAGAATTTTTTGCTAGCCGTTTTGTTAATAAATTACATTATTTTCATTATGGAACAGTAGATACTTTTTTGAGTACGTTTATTTGTTTTCTTATTTTCGTATATAGAAATTTTACAAATTCAATATCAATGTAATTACTTTTCCTTTTCTTGTAGAAGAATGCAAAGATCTACAAAACAGTGTTATTGTATGTAGTTGTATAGATTTTTATGAAAATTTAATTGATAATTTAATTGAATATTCTAGCTTGAAATGGATGGACGAGTTATTGAAAATCTTCCAGCATTAGAAGGTATTTGTATATTAAATATCCCATCATGGGGTGCAGGTGTTCGTGTTTGGGGAACAGGTGAAAATATTCCAGTTCAAGAGTAAATAAGCATAATGTTCATTGATAATTGTCTACTATTGACTTTTTTTTATAATTCATTTAGAATTGATGACGGTTTGGTGGAAGTTTTTGGAATTTATAGTTCATTTCATATAGCACAAATGCAAGTTGGCCTTGCTGATCCATTCCGTATAGGACAAGCTCGTCGAGTTAAAGTAAATTTATATTATATTCTGTAATATATATTATAAATTTTTAAATCTTTTATCTAGTTAACACTTAAACGTCGTTTTCCTTGTCAATGTGATGGAGAACCATTTGAAGAAGGCCCATGCGTTGTAGACATTGAACATTTTTCCCAAGCGAGAATGTTAACGAACATCGGCAACAAATAATCCAAAATAATTTATCTTTTCTATAATTTGTATGTCATATGTTCTGATAAAAAATTTTTTTTTTCGTTAGATAACTGTATAACCGGCAAAAATCAAAACTATTCACAAAAAAAATGATTCTGGTCTTTCTCTGTTCCTTTTTTTATCAGATAGTGTGCGTGCATGTGTGTGTGTGCATGTGTGTGCGTGTTATATGTTGTGCTTAGACAGTAACCAAGATATTTTATCTTCATGGACATGTTTGTTCTTTTTTGTGTATATTGACATTTTCATTGTTTTTTTTCTTTTGTGTTAAAATAATAAAGTGAGTAATTTTTGCGAAAGAGTATGAAAGGAAAAAATAGAACGGTATGCGAAGAATTTATCTTCTTTGCACTCCAAAGAAAAAAAAAAACTGACAAGAATAAGAACAACAAAATGCATGAATCCAATGCACCGAAAAAGAGAAAGGGTATTTTTGAGATTATTATTTAGATGATATTTACTTTTCTGTATGCTACATTAAAATAAAAGCGTCATACAATCCTTCATTTTCAAAAAGAAAACTTTTAAATCATCAATTGTCTTTATTTTGATTCAAGCAAAAGACAATGACAGAAACAGATATTAAACAACCGAAATCGGGTAGATAATAATTATGAATATTTTTATTTTGAATAATGACTTTTCTTTTTAAAAAAATATTCCTAGTCTCTTTTTTGTGTTCAATTCGTGTCGCAGTTGCCTTTGTTGGTTTTCTTGGTATGGTTGCACATTATTCACAAAAGATTAGTCTTGGAATGGCTCTTGTGTGTATGGTCAATCATTCATCGATTGAACAACATAAAACTTCTATTGATATGCCTCTTACACAGGCTGACATTGATTGTCCACGTCTAAATAATACTGTTGCAATTGTAAATAGAAAAGAAAACAAAAAAGAATTCGTATTATGTTTTTTTTCTAAAATATTTATAGGAGGGTCCGTATCCTTGGACAAAAAATATTCAAGGTATCGTGTTAGGTGGATATTTTTGGGGATATTTGATTACTGAAATACCTGGTGGATATTTGGCTGGTCGCTATGGTGCTCGACTTATATTTGGTGGAGCTATGATTGTAGCTGGTGTTTTTTCAATAGCTATTCCTTGGGGTGCTAATTTACATTGGGGTATAGTATGGTTTCTACGATTAATTGTTGGATTGGCACATGGTGTTATATGGCCTTGTATGGCTGTTATTATGTCACGTTGGGCACCACCTGATGAAAGGGGAAAACTTCTCGGTTTTATGAATGCTGGTAAATTAAAATTGTTTAAAGTTATAAAAACTTTCTTTTGTGTCTAGGTGCTCAAATTGGTAATGTTCTAGCATTATCTGTTGGTGGTCTTATGTGTTCATGGAGTTTTATTGGTGGTTGGCCATTAATTTTTTATTCTACAGGTGTTATGGGTTTTGTTTGGGGTATTTTTTGGATTTTCTTCTATGCTGATTCACCTCAAGATCAACGTTGTATTAGTACTCAAGAAAAACATTATATACTGGATTCTACACAAGAACAATTATCACATAGTGATGAAAATGAATTTGAAGCTCCATGGAAAGATATTTTAACATCACCTGTTTGTTGGGCACTTTTTATTATTCATACGTGTAATAATTGGGGTACATACACATTTCTTACATCGATTCCAAAATATATGTCGGAAGTATTAAGATTCGATATTAAATCTGTACGTAAATAAAAAAAATATATAATTCAATATAAAATGATATCATTTTTCTTGAAATATAGAATGGACTTCTTTCATCGTTACCATACCTTATGTTCTGGCTGAATATAAATATATCTGGTGCAGTAGCTGATAGTCTTATTCGAAAAGGCACTTTATCAAGGACAGGAACAAGAAAATTATTTAATGTATTAGGAAATTTACTTCCAGCAATATTTGTTATTGGATTAGCATTCATGACATGTAAAATTAAATATATTGCTGTAGCTTTATTAACAATTGGTGTTACTTTTACGTAAGTATTTTGTGTATTCCAGTATTTTTCCATTCATTTTTCATTGAATGTAGTGGATGTTGTTATGGTGGAGGATTTTTACTTACATCAAATGATATTGCTCCACCTTATGCAGGAATCATCTTTGGTATATCGAATACGTTTGCTACGTTACCAGGTGTTTTAAGTCCATATGTTGTCGGTGCTCTTACTGGAAAAGTGAGTATTTAATATGTTTTATTTATGTAAAGATAGTCTACTAATATCTGTGTAGGATCCAAACAATTGGCGTTATGTCTTTTTCATTTGTGCAGCTATCTATATAATTGGTATGCTTGTGTTCTTATTCATTGGCTCAGGTGAAGTACAACCATGGGCAAAAAAACGTCCTCATGGTCCAACTACACCAGAAGAAACACCTCTATCAGGTATTTTTTATTTTTCAAAGTTGTTCATGTCTAATACATATTTTCTTTTAGAACCCACTGGCGTCTTCATATCAAAAGAATGAAATGAACAATAGTTTGTTTCACTGTTTTTTTTTGTGTTAGTTCAACAGATAGCATTTTGTTTCAATGCGTGTGTTGTGAACATCGAAATTTTAGATGCAGTAATCCTTTTTTTGGCCAAAATTTCATAGAATCGTCATAGAATCCATATCGTTTGTGTTTTTTACCTACTGCAAGATGTGTGTTTATGGGCTTTGGTTTCTCAAATATTGATTGAAACATTTTAGTTTTGATTCCCATTTTGTTTGATATAGTTTCATGAGTACTAGCTGTTAGACTTGGTTGATAAATGATTGGTGAATTAACACTAGAATAAATATCATTTTTCGAACATAGTGTTTCACTAGCTATCGGTAATACTGCTCGACAAGTATAAATAGATGGAACTTGTAAATCAAATCTAATGTTTGATAAACATGGTGATATTGATTTCTGATTATGTAATTGTTCAAGTTCTAGACACCAGAGTTCTTCAACAGATGTTTTAAGCATATATAATGCAAGTTGAAATTCTTTATAATGTTTGTATATTTTATTCAATGATTGAACTGATTGTTGTCTACGAGATAATCTAAGACTTGGTGTGGAAATCTGATTATTTGGCAGTATTGTCTCATCGATTTGATTAGAGAACAGACTCGGATATATGTTCATCGTGTTCGTTTTTTTGTTCATGTAAACATTAATAATAAAAAGTAAAAAAAAGGATACAACTCGCTTATTCAGTGGAAAGAAAATAAAATTATGCGCCAAAAACTTATTTCTTTTTTTTTCAAATGATATAATAATTTATCACAACTTAAAGTGTCGTTTTTATTTATTAACAATAATCTTTTGATATTGATTGGTTTGATTCTTTGTCATATTATGTTCTATAACTGTTCTTCTTCTCAAGGAATGTGAAAAACTATATAGTGCCATCTATCTTTTTTTGAACATAAAAATCACAATTTTAGTATGATTTTTTAAATTAATCAATATCTAAAAAGAAATAATTGTAATTTTTACGAATTAATCTTTGTTTAAAAGTGTCATATTTAGATGAGGAGGACGCTGCTAAATAGTAGTTATCTTTAGAATGAATCATACATGCTCGATCTTCATTAATAATGAGCTTGCCACTGTTTTCGTTGTTTGTATGTATGTAGATTCATACTGTATTGAAATCAAGATTCTCGAAATGAATTTATTTTGAAATATTTATCGATGACAATAATATAAGTTTTATGATAATAACTAATATGCTTATTATTGTTTCAATTCCAGAATTCATGACATATCATACGCATTCATCGTTTGAGAAGAATCTAGAAAATGCTTTGAATAGATGGCGTTTTACAAAGTTAATGTGCATTCAATTTTTTAGATTTATTGGAGCATACACACACAAATGTCTAAAACAATTCCAGCCGATCATGTACGACTTCTTCGACAATTTGTTACCTTATGTGATGCTCAACCTGAGATGCTTCTCGCACCTGAACTTGAATTCTTTCGGGAATGGCTTGTTAAGTAATTATGATTTTTAATTTTTCAATATAAATTTATATTATTTTAAAAAACTAATATATAGATTAGGAGCAATAATTCCGCCTGATTTAAGTCATCATACTTCAGAATCAAAAACAGAAGAAAAGGAAACAACTGATGCTCATCATGAAAGTACTTCATCATCGAAAGTTCATGAAGAACCACCAAAAGTTGAAAGTGATCCAGAGAGTGAATTGGGTAAATTTATACATTTATCTTCTGTTATTTGATTATATTCATTCATATAGAATTGGATGCAACTGGTGTCATTGAAGGCGATCATGAGCCACCACAATCAATGGGTGATCCTGATATTGAGGTATAGTTTTAATTGTAAATCATATTAAATCATATTATGTTTATTTTGAATAGGTTACAGATGCTATGTTAGAACAAGCCGATGCCAAACGAGGTGAAGCTCAGGCAAAACTTTCTGAAGGTGCAATTGAAGAAGCTATTACTTTGTTTACACAAGCTATTGAAAACAATCCACAATCGGCTATTCTCCATGCAAAACGTGCTCAATGTTATATTAAGCTTCAAAAGCCGAATGCAGCTATACGTGATTGTGATCGTGCTTTAGAGTTAAATGAAAATTCGCAACAAGCACTCAAATGGAGAGGCAAAGCTCATCGGTAGGCATGAAAAAAAAAACATAAACATAAAGGTTTTTTAATGGAAAATTTTTCTTGTTCAGTATGTTGGGCAATTGGGAAGGAGCTTATAAAGATTTTTGTAAAGCACAATTGTCTGATTTTGATGAAGATGTTCAAACATGGTGCAAAGAAGTTGAAGCAAATGTATATATTTTTCTTTTTTCTTTTGTACTTGACCTACTGTAATTGTTTTTTTATTATCTAGGCTAAGAAGCTTGCTGAACATAAACGTAAACATGAACGTCATCGAGAAACAAAAGAAGCCGATGCTAAACGAGAACGTATTCGTCAAGCTCAAGAAGCTTATGCTAAAGCACAACAAGAAGAAAATGAACGACGAACACGAGAACAACAATCACGCTCTGCAGGAGGTCAACAATTTCCAGGATTTCCAGGTGACTTAAGAGAATTATTAATTATACTAGATAGTTTATTAATATTTTTATATAGGAGGTATGGGCGGAATGGGAGGTATGGGTGGAATGGGAGGTATGGGCGGAATGGGAGGCATGGGCGGAATGGGTGCTGGAGCTGATTTAGGAGGTTTAGGAGCCGTTATGAATGATCCAGAAATATTAGAAGCATTACAAGATCCAGATGTACAACGGGCCTTCTCGGTAAGTCATATGCACTTGTCTTGTTTTTTTTTTGTTATTACATTAGTTAATTTACTATGATCCATACTTGTAGAAAACAAATGCATACAGAAATACATAGTATAAATAGATGTTGATTTCTGTTATCGTTCTAGAAGTGTAACATTCAAAATGATTCTGAACAAGAGATAATTTTTAGTCGCAAAATCTGAATGTTTTGTATTGATATTGTTGAATTGATTTGATTACATATATTGATAAAGATGTTTGTTGCATATAATATTTATTTTAGGAAGTTAGTGCTGATCCTTCAAAATTAGCTGCTCATCAAAGCAATCCCAAGGTACGTAAAGTCATGGAGAAACTGGCTAGCAAGTTTGGCGGCGCCGGTGGACCCATGGGTGGTGGTTTCCCCAATTTTCCAGGTTTGTTTTCTTTTGTTTTTTTTGTTGTATATTTTACATTATTTTATGTTTGTAGGTGGAATGGGTGGCGGAGCTGATACCAACGATCTTGATTGATTTGCTTCATTGCCAGACGTCATTTGAAGAACGTGTTGTTTTCTTTTTTTTTTTATTTCTTTCATTTTTGTTCGATCAACTTTGAAGATAGTCTTGCTTGAGTCATTGTCATAGCACTTTCTTTTCTTCTCTGCTTTCTTTTTTAAATAGAATCAAAATACATGAGTTTACCAAAGTTGATTTCCAATAAAACTTACGATCAGACTTACAAAGAAATCAATTGTTCAAGTTCTCACAGAGATTGTGTCGAGATCACATTTAATTTCCGAGAAAGATTTATTCATAAAATTAATTCCATCGGGTTGTTTATTTTATATATATATATTCATCATATTATGACTATTTTTTCACATGATCTTATTCAAGTTCTATCCAATAAATTTCAACAGACATTTGATGTGTACATCTGTTGAAGTATTATAAAAATGTATAGTTTTCAAACACAACAAAGAAAATTATTCATCGATATTTTTATTAAACTATCTAGTCCATTCTATTTATTCACCATACACTTGTTCAAAAGAAATGAACTACTTTGTTGCTATTGTCACGATTCATTATCACTTTTAACTTATGGAAGTAAATCAATCTCTTAATCAAAAACGTTTTCTGGTTGGTAACTAATTCATGAATTATTTTTGCATTACTCAGTGTTTTTTCTAAAGATATCTATATCATATTGTTTCGTTAAATAGAAAGTTCAACGTGGTTAACAATAAACTCAAAATGAGCCTTTTTTTTTGTATGTGACTTTCTTCGACCCTTTTGCATTGGTATTTTTCTAATCATCTTCATCATTTTATTTACATGTGTTTGTTTTCATATCAAATATTTGCTTTATTCACCTTCTTATCTTTATATACAAAACTATATAAATAAAAAGCATTCTTCTAATTTAGTTTACTGCTTTGCAAAAAAAGAGAAACGATTTTAGATATTAGCGATTTTCACTTGAAAAAAAGGAACCAAAGTTCTAATGAAACACGAGAGTAAAATGTAACATGAATAAAGAAAAAATGCGCGAAATCATTGTTGATTTCAGTGTGTGTGTGTGTATTTTCTATTTATTTTATTACATTAATGTCGACAACTGGTCTAATTGGTGCAGCTGAACTTTCGGAAAATGTATCGATCGAAAATGAGCAAGATCAATTTGTAAATGATAATGAGGAAAAACAGACACAACAAGAACAACATCAACAATATCACTTTGATGTTATTGTTATTGGTTCAGGACCAGGAGGTGGGTATGTGCACTAGTGAGTTTATTGTTTTTTATTCTGATGAAATGATGTTCATTTATGTTTACATCAGGTTACACGAGTGCTATTCGATGTGCACAATTTGGTAAATCAGTAGCAATAGTTGAACGTGATCTTATAGGTGGTCATGCTGTAAACTGGGGTTGTATTCCACTGAATGCAATGATTGCTTCTGCACGTTTTATTCGTTCAATTTATGAGTCAAATCGTTATGGTATTGATATATCATCACATCGTATTGATTTTTTACGTATTGCTCGTCATCGTGATCAAGCAGTTAAGAGAGTTCGTTCTCAAATTAAAAATTTCTTAGAAAAGTAATTTTTTTTTGTTCGTAGTTTAACGAAAATCATTATTTGTTAAATATTTATTCATTTTCAATTAAGATATCATATTCAAGTGTATACTGGTGTTGCCCATATTATTGATAAGAATCACATAATAGTAAAACCAATTCAAAAGTATATTTATGCTAATGTATATGATGCAGATGGTCGAAATCCTTATGAAACCGATGACTATGTACCAATTAGAACTGATGTTGAAATTAGTGGCCAAAATATTATTGTAAACACTTTGGGAAATGTAATTTCGTATTTTCAGCTTTTATTTCAGATTGCATCAGGTGTTGAATATGGATTACCTAATTTTGTTGAATCCAATGATACAAAAACAGTAGATCCTACTCAACTTCTTTGGCATAAGAATATACCTGACTCATTGATTATTATCGGCGGAGTATTCATTTTAGAAAAAAATTAAAATAATACTTGTCGATACTTTATAATAGGGCGTATTAGGTTGTGAACTTGCATCTCTCTATCGTCATCTACGTTCGAATATTGTCTTAATTGAAAAAAATTCAAGATTACTCAAATTTATGGATGAACAAGTTTCATTTGCAGTTGAAACACGTCTTAAAGATATTGGTGTTGAAATTATTCTCAACGCTCATGTTGAACGAGTTTCAAAAGGTGAAGTCATCGTAGAACTACAACAAACAAATACGAAACGTACGATTCTTGGTAATCTCGTTGTGATATGTACTGGTCAAAAACCAACTTTTGATTATGAAAACTTACTAAATCTTGGTATTGCTATCGATCAAGAACGTTCAACTATTATTATTGATGAAAATACGTGTCAAACATCAATACCAACTATTTATGCATGTGGTGGAGTAGTATCTTCTTGCTGGTCTTGGGTATGTGAGAGAGAAAAAAGCAAAATATCATGATTTTTAATCAGTTTTCTTTTTTTCAAAACAAAAATAGGTTCCTTGTGCTATACATCAAGGACATTTAGTAGCAAATACAATATCTGAAAACCCATTGAATGAATATGAAGATAATAGTAAATCTCATATCCCTATTAATCTAGCTACACCATTTGTGGTTAATGTCATACCGGCAGTTGCCAGTGCTGGTGAAGTACCAAAATTAATTGATAATGTACTTATTTACACATTCAAATTTCAATCGAATCGAAGAGCAATTATTGATGATCAAACTTGGGGTTTTATTAAAATGTGGACAACACGTGAAGAACCAAAGAAATTTCTTGCTGTTCAACTGATTCATGAAGCAGCAGCAGAAATAATTGAATATTATAGTATGATTATGTCATTGAGTAAGAATCATATAAGAATAGATTATCATAATGTATTATAGTAAAATCTATATTTTCTCTACATATAGATATTCCACTCCGTGAAGTATGTCTTCTTCCATTTGCTCATCCAACTTATACTGAAAGTGTGAAAGAAGCATGTGAATATGTACTCGGTCAATCAATGAGTTATGAAGGCACTTATTTGAATTAATTACAGATAAATATTTAATTTCTTTTATTTTTTTTTAATTCTTTTATAATTTTATTAGTATTCTTTTCTTTCGATGAATAGAGATACAGATTAATAAAACGATAATATTTCCCTAGACGAAAGAAATAAGGTAACAAAAGTATATCGCATATGTGTGTGTGTGTATTGACAAAGGCAAATGGGATAACGTAAATAATAAAAAAGCTAGGAGAAAATAGAGAAATATTTGATAAAAAAAAATGAATACAAAATTTCCATCTACACACACACCTCTATCAATGATTCGTTTGATTGAATTTGCATTTTTTTTTTTATATTTACTACATGTACTAATAACCTTTGTTTCTGTTTTACGAACACAATGGAACAACATGTATATATATATATATATAAAGAAAGACGAAATAACAAGAAAAAATATGAAAAAAAACATCATTGATTGAAATATTTGAGTCCCTTAAAGATATATATATATATGTATCCGTTTTAAGTTTAAATTAAGAAGATCAATAAACAAGAAAGAGAGAACAACAATATTCGATATAAGTTTATTTATTATCATCAGAATAAATAGAAGATGGTAAAACAAATTTAATGATGATGATGTTGATGAAAAGACATGAACGGATGTCTCTCTGTTTTAAATCAGATCGGCAACGTTCATTGGCATTTCTTGTATTTGTGTATTGTAAAATTGTTCAATATCACGTAATGTTCGTCGATCATCATCAGTAACAAAATTGATTGCTACACCTTTTCGACCGAATCGACCACCACGACCAATACTACGAAAAAAGAAGCAATCAATTCCATAAACATTGGTTTTTTTTTTTGTGTATTTTATATTCAATCTTACCGATGAATATAATTCTCACGATTATTTGGTAAATCATAATTAATAACAAGACTAACTTGTTGTACATCAATACCACGTGCAAGTAAATCTGTTGTAATTAATACACGACTAGAACCTGTACGAAATTCTTTCATGATTATATCACGTTCCTTTTGATCCATATCACCATGCTAAAATTTACAAAAATTCATATTATTTATACATATTTGTTCTCTTGAAATATTTTTTTGTTTTTTTAAATTTTACTTACCATGGCAGATACAGTAAAATCACGTCCACGCATTTTTTCAGTTAACCAATCAACTTTTCGTCGTGTATTACAAAAAATAACAGCTTGTGTTATTGTTAAAGTTTCGTATAAATCACATAGTGTGTCTAATTTCCATTCCTATTTATTATAATTAATAGAAAATATGTTTACAAAAATGTATTTATAAATTATTTTTTTCTCTTACTTCACGTTCGACAGTAACATAAAATTGAAGAATACCTTCAAGAGTTAATTCTTCTTTTTTTACAAGAATTTTAATTGGATCATTCATAAATTTCGTTGTTACTTCAAGTACATCACTGGGCATTGTAGCCGATAATAAAACAACCTGAACATTTTCTGGCATTGTTGTGAATACATCATAAATTTGTTCTTTAAAACCACGTGATAACATTTCATCGGCTTCATCTAATACAAACATTTTGATATTTTTGCTATCTAGTTTATAATATTTATTAGAAATATATATAAAGATTAATAAAAACAAATCATTTGAATACATACGAAGAGCTGATCGATTAAGCATGTCATAGACACGTCCTGGTGTACCCACAACAATTTGAACACCTGCTTCAAGTCGTTTCATATCATCACGAACATTGGTACCACCAATACAACCATGACATGTAACTCCCATATAATCGCCAAGTGCTAATACTACCTTCTGGATCTAAATAATAAATAGAAAACACAAATAAGAATAATCGATTTGTTTTTTTTTTTTTTTCAATAGAAAAACTATACTTGTTGAGCCAGTTCTCGAGTAGGTGCCAAGATTAATGCTTGACAATCTTTAAAGTCCATGTCAAGTTGTTGTAAAATTGAAATAGCAAATGTAGCTGTTTTGCCTGTGCCTGATTGTGCTTGTGCAATCACATCGTGACCTATAATAAAGATATATAACATATTGAATAACTTTATTTTCATAAAATGAAGGAAAAACATACCTAATATACACGGTTTAATGGCACGCTGTTGAATAGCTGAAGGTCGTTCAAAACCGTAACCATAGATACCACGTAAAAGTGGTTCACGTAAATTCATCTGATCGAATTGTTCGACCACTTCAGTCCAATTACTTTCAATGAGTCCATCTAAATATACACAAATAATTTATATTTATTCGATTAATTTTCTTAATATTTATTATTTACCAGGTTCCATAGAAGGAACTGCCGTGTCCGATTTCTGATGAGTATCATTCCTAAAATACAAATCAATGTTGTTCAATTAATTATATATAATACAATTCATAGTTTTATTCTAAATTTTGGAAAAGAAACTTTTCGTACTTGTCCCTAGACATTTTGTTTGATTGGTGACATAATCTAGTTTAGAAGGGATAAAATAGAAGATACATTGTATTTATTTCTTTTTTCACAAACATGACAAAGCACAAATACACATACACATACACATTTCGAGAGTCAGGCACACATATAATCAAAATGGCGGATGGATTATACAGATATTCTATTCTATTCTCAAAAGACTAGTTTACATCGGTAGAGAGGTCTAATTTAATATAGAATTTTTTTCTTACTTCAAACAAGAATATGTCTAGTTTTTTTTTTTCCAAATACTTACTCCAATGGAGATTTTGTTTTATAACCGTTTGCTTTTGTTTTCGTTTGATTGTCACTCATAGATGAAGAAAAATAAAATAGTAATGCATTTCAAATGAAGAAGATCTGAAAATAAGGAAGACAAAATTGCTTAGCAACGATAAAATGCTATGAATAAGAATGTTTTGTACTAAGTCTTATCACAAATTCAAATAGAAATAAAATGAAATATTACTTTGAAAAAGAATGAACAATACTTACTTAGCAAGTAAAATATAAATAAAATGAAAAACAAAGTGATAGGAAGAAAGTATTTAAATGAATATAATTTCGAAATTTCATCAAATACATGTATGAATCAAAAAAGTATAAAGGTCGTCAAAGAAAAAAAGATTAACCAATGAATATACAAAAATTCAGATGAAAAGAAAGGAAAAATGGAGTCATGTATATAGTTTGATGCATTTTGTTAGATGACGCTACAATTCATCTTATAAAAACATCCAATAAGACATCAGTTTCTTTACTTGTTGACTGAGCAAAAAAAAAAGATTCCTTTTTTTTGCATTTTCAATTTCTTTAAATTTCTATTATGGCTAATACTTCCTATCGTCTTCGTTGTCAATTATATGGACATGAGGCAGATGTACGTTCCGTTTCAACAATAACTGAATATGATGGTATTGTCAGTGGATCAAGAGATAAAACAGCAAGAATTTGGCGTCCATCAGAGTATATTTTATTAAAAATTTTATTTTAAGTTAAAACAACGAAAAAAAAAAATTTTTCTATTTAGTAAAACTTCATTTGAACAACGTGTAGTATTGAAGGATCATACGAATTTTGTTATTGCAACATGTTATATTCCATCTAGTAACGAATTTAGTGATGGTCTTATTGTAACGGGAGGCAATGATAAAAAAATTTGTGTTTATTCAGCTAAACAAGGAACACATTTATTTACATTAGAAGGACATGAACAAACTGGTGAATATATATATCATTTTATCATATTCATCAAATATAACTTTTCTTTCTTTTATATAAAAGTTTCAAATCTTTCTTATGTACCACAAAGTGATCTATTATTAAGTGCATCATGGGATCAAACTGGACGTATTTGGTCTTTATCTAGTAAAAAATGTATTCAAATTCTTAGAGGTATTTATGAATGATAGAAAAAAAAAAATACTAAATTTCACGGTTTTTTTTTTTTTTGAAACTTTTTGACATACTAAAGGTCATAGTAAAGCAGTATGGGCCATTATTTCCATGGGAGATGTAACAAATAATTCGAATATTATTTTAACTGGTGCTGCTGATAATATTATTGCAGGTTGGAAAAATTATAATAAATTTCAAACATATGAAGGTAAGTAATGAATATTTATGTATTATAAAAACAAATTGTTTGTATTGTTTTTTTTTAAAATAAGGTCATACAAATTGTGTTCGATCATTGGCTGCATTAAATTCAAATGAATTTTTATCATGTTCAAACGATTATACTATTAAACGATGGAATATTAATTCTGTACAATGTTTACAAACATATGAAGGTCATACAAGTTTTGTTTATAGTATATCAATAATATCTTCGGACAGATTTGCATCTGTAAGTGAAGATCGTTCATTACGTTTATGGTCAATAAATACAAGTGAATCAAAACAAACAATTCGATTACATTCAGGAACTGTTTGGAGTGTTTGTTCATTAACAAATAGTGATTTAGTAGTTGGATGCAGGTTAGTTGAGTGAAAATAAATTTAATTTATAATAATAATAATAATAAAATTCAATTTTAGTGATGGACGTATATGTATTTTTACTAAAGATCCATTACGAACAGCAACAATGGAAGAAATTTCAGCATATGAACAAGAAATAGCTTCAACAACTATTCAAACAAAAACTGGTGATTTAGGAGAAGTTAAAATAGATGATTTACCAAATGAAGATGCATTAAAAAATCCTGGAACACGTGAAGGTCAAACAACAATGATTAATAAAGGTAATGGACATGTTGAAGCATATCAATGGAATATGCTTGATCAACGTTGGATGAAAATTGGTGATGTTGTTGGTTCAGCTGATAGTACAGCACAAGGACAAGCATCAGCAACAGGTGAAAAAATTATGTTTGAAGGACAATATTATGATTATGTATTTAATGTTGAACTTGATGAACATGATCCACTTAAACTTCCATATAATGTAACAGATGATCCATGGTATGCTGCACAAGAATTTATTCATCGACATGAATTAAGTCAAATGTTTCTTGATCAAATAGCACAATTTATTATAACAAATACAAAAGGAATGGTTATTGATCAAAGAGCAACCGATTTTATGGATCCTTTTACTGGTTAAGTTATTTATTAATAATAATTCATTTTTATTATTAATAAACTTTAGGTACTGGACGTTATGTTCCTGGTAGTACATCAGCTATGGATACAACACAACAACCAACTAATTATGATCCATTTACTGGTTCTGGACGTTATATACCTAATGCAAGTTCATCAACAACTAAACGAGAAACAAATTCAAATCAAGATCCATTTACAGGTACTGGAAGATATATACCAAATGGTGGTAATGATCAATCACCACGACCATTATCTGCTTCACAATCAACTGTTATAAGTATGATATTTATGTTTTATTTTTTATTATCTATAAATATATTTTATTTATATAGAAACAGATAAAGATGCAGAACTTACAACAACATTTCCTCAAACTCATTATATTACAATGACTAATGCGGATACAATGAAAATTCTTACTAAGCTTAAAGATTTTAATGATAATGTAACTGGTGATGGTGTTCGTTTACATGATAATCAAATACAACAAATAAATGAATTAGTTAATGGAAATACAAATAATCTTGAAATAAAAATAAATCTTTTATTTCAATTATTCAAATGGCCTATTGGTATTTAGATATATTAACTTTAATTATTTTTCAATATTATTTTTGATTTTATATTTAGATAAAATTTTTCCTATATTAGATATAATTCGTTTAATTATTCTCAATTCTGATATTTGTAAATATCTATTTGAGAATGAAACAAAATCAAATGAATTTATTTCTCAACTATTTACATATCTTCAACCAGAACAATCAGCTAATACAATGTTTATATTTCGTACTTTAACAAATTTATTTTCAAATGATTTAGGTGAAAAATATATGATTAAAAATCGTAATTCAATTTTAGCTAAAGCTCTTCTATGTTTACCATTAACAAAAAAAAATACTCAAATAGCATTAACAAATGTTATTTTAAATTATTGTATTTATGCTTATCGAAGTAATGATGAAAGTCTTTCGGATTATTTGTATGAATGTTATAAAGAATTTGTTGATATACAATTTGAATCAGATGGTGCAAAACGTCTTATACTTGGTTTAGGAACATTATTTTGTACTAATGCTGATCTTGTTCTTAATGTACAAACAACATCTGATAATAGTGCAAAACGATTTTTTACTGCACTTGAAAAATCAGCATCACAATTAAATGCTGATACACTTGAATGCTTTGAACGATGTCGTGCACTTGTTAAAAATTTGTGAAATTTTAAAAAAAAAAAACAAACAAACAATAAAACCAATTCTTCTTAGCCCTTCTCCTCTTTTTTTTCTACATAAAATAAAGACAAAGTTTTTATTTCATCTATATCTAATCTAGATGTTTGTACGCGTAGCATCTCTTTCAACAAAAACAAAACAACATAAATTAGATCGTTTACGGCCACCATCACCATGGACAAATGATCTTGCTGATGAAGGAGTTGCGGTTTTTATTGTACAAGCAAGTAAATTTACTAACCTGGTTGGAATCAAAATAACAAACAAAAAAAATATATTGAAACTTACTCTATAACAATCAATAAATAATTCTTGCTTTTTAGTAGTTTATTCAACTTATTGATTTCTAAATGAAAAACAAAAGAAGAATTTTCTTTTATATTAGTGTGCTGGTACAGTCGATCTAGCCCATGATGATGATGTTGATTTTTCATACAAAAAGAAACTTTTACAATTTATTTATCAATGTCAAGTAATCAATACTTATCTTTATTGTAGAAACACACAAATTTATTGTTAGATTTATTATAGGTCGAACGTCGTTTATCAAAACGATTAACAGAAAAATCCATTGTGCAATTACATATAACTACTGAACACGTTAAACTTTTTAATATTCATCAAGTAAAAACGATTGATTGTAGACTTTTTTTTTTGTTTATGATGTAATTATTCAATTCTTATATAGAAAACAATTTTATCTATTCCATCTCATCATATTATTGCTTGTTATTATGTTGAATATGAAAAAGATCATATTGTTACAATGAAATATGGTATTTCTTATTCTGATCTTAAATTCTTCGTATATTAATAATATTTTTTTTTATTGTTTTAGTTTCAGAAAAAGATAAAACATCTACAATTGAATTAATGGTTTTTCTATTAAATGATCGATATGAAGCTGATCAATTATGTTCATCAATGGAATTTTGTTTTCGTGCAATTTATATAGCTAATGAGCAAAATTCTGATATAAGTAAAAAATTATCATTACTCACTTTATCACTTTCATCACCTCAACAATTACGTAATTCATGTGGATCACCAACATCTTCAACACCATCAACGATTCGTTCTTTATCATTAGCATCAGCTTCTTCAGCACGTGTTATTTCACCAGATGCATCAACGATTGTTGATGAAGAGTCATCAACTCCACGTCGAAGACATCGGTATAATTTATTGTAGAAGTTTCAATCTTTAATTTATGTTTTCTTATTGTTTTTTTTGTGTTCTAGACGACCACATCATCGAAATGATGATAAATCACCAAATCAATCTTTAACTAAGTCAACATCACAAATTATTCAAAATTATCTTCTTCATGTATATTTAATATTATTTAGTTTAATATTTTTGTAGTTTTTATTGATGTCTTTTTAGTTACAAATTGAATTAAAAACTGATGAATTAGCTGAATTTGGAAAATTATTAACTGAATGGCAATCAAATCAATTAAGTACAAAACAATTTGTTAAAAGAACAGCTCGTTTATATGGAGAATCTCGAAGAAATTTACTTGATGGTAAATGAGACTATAACATGTTATTTGATATTATATTTTTTGATTCTTTATTAGGTTTGCACGATTTTATACCAGTCGAAGAGCAAACATGGTTTCTTGAATATTTAAATAATCTCAAATCGCCGTCGTCATCACTATTGAGTAGTAATGAGTCATTACAAGATGTTGACACTTTCTGATGGAATTTTTCAATATATTATTTTTTTGTAAAACGTTTTTTCTTTGAATATTTCAAAATAATAATAAATAAATATGTATTCTAATCAATAGAAAGATTCGTTAGGACCTCGAAATAGTGTTGTATTCTCTATTATTTTTTTTTCGTTTCGCTCAACGGAAACGAAAGAAGAAAACATGTGGTCAAGATCCTTGTGTTCATTTGAACAACAAATTATTTCAAAAAACACGTGTATAAATTGTATCCTACATGAAAGATGACTAGTCAAGCATTCAGTCAAGGAATTCATTTAAATGAAAAATCAGATTTTAGTTTGTTACGGTTATATATTGAACAAGAAGTATCAAATGCTAATTTACAACAGCTTGTTGAAACTATTCAAAATTCAAAAGATTCAGAAGTAAGCTTAAAAGACATGTATATATATATATTCACGAGAAAATAATTCATTTATCAATGATAGATATGTTTCTATCCATTTATTATTCCAATTCGATTAGATAAATGCTATCAAATATCTGGTAACAATTATTCATTATCTTATATGTAACATCAAAAATAAACTGTTCGTTTTTTTGTAAGATTCATTTACTGAATTTATTATTCATCAGCAAAAACGTGCTACAGTATTTGCTCAACAAGTATCATGATTTGATTTTTGTTTGTTATTTTGATATCTTCATCTTATTCTTCATTGTAGATTATTTATAAGAATGTCAGAAATCTTTGTAGTCATTCAAATCAAATTGTTATTCGATTCATTTATGATAAATTACCATCACGACCAGAGTAAGATTTCTATTTAAAAAAAAACAACGAACATATAGTGTTGACTAACAGATTTCGTATTTTATCAAATGCTTCACAAGCCGATTTACTCTCTCGTACACATCCTATTCGTCTTAGTGGTACGGTCATTGCATCGAGTGCTATTTTACCTTACATGTATATCCAATATTTTCTTCTTTATTTTCTTATTATGATTTAAAATTTACTTATTAGACGTGGACTCAAATATGTATGTCATAGTTTGATGTGTCCGTTAAGTAATCGAAAACGTCAAAAATTTGTATTATTTGATATTGAAAATCCACATAGTTGTAAAGTTGGAGAGTAAGTATGACTAAAGAAAAAAAAAAGAAATTTAATTTTTTTTTCATAAAAAAACCTATTCGTAGAACAATTTTGTGTGAAGGATGTGATTTATTTCTTGATGAAGATATCAATAAACGATGGATTTCTGGTATATATTCATTTATTAATAAAAATATCAATAGTTTTCTTTTTCATATAGAAAAACTTATTATTGCTGTCAAAATAAAAGAACCAGAAACACCTATTCTTTCATCAACATACAATCTTCAACTAGATACATTATTATCAAATACACACACTATAATCATTCGTGGTAAATGAATCATAAATTTCATGAATAATCTATATTTAAAAATGTTTCTCTTAGATGAATATGTTTCCAATATTCGTCTTGGTGGTAAATATAATTTCATTTGTTATGCTATTTATGATTCTCATTCGAATGGAATAGTTTTTGAAGTATAAATCATGCAATAATATCTTTTAATTTTTTCAAATTATTTTTAGACATTACATTGTGAATTAATACAACCACGTCGTCTTTCATTACCAGATTCTATTTGTCATTTACATAATAATTTTGCTCGTCATCATTCATTCAGTTTTCTTAATATTCTATCAACACTTTTTTGTCGTATGTCTTATGTTATTATTCTATATTACAAAAAATTAATAATTTATCTGTAGCACATATTCGATTAGCTAAATATTGTATACATGTCAAGATGGGTTTAATACTTAGTCTTGTATCATCTTCAATTCATATACTTATTGTTGGTAATGAAAGTCGTATAGCTGATATTCTTTGTCAAACAGCATTAAAATATGCTCGATATGGTGTTATTCATCGACAACAACATCCACTTACGTTTGCATCTATTTCAAAAAATAAACATCGTTCATTCATTGTTTCTGGTAAATTTTTATCTTTTAATTTTTTTTTTTGTTGTTTTTATTTTATGAGTTTTATATAGCTGGTTCAATTGTTGTTGGTGATGGTGGAATAACTTATCTCGAAAGCATTGATAGTTTAAACAAGTCACAAATAAAAGAACTTCTTTCTGGTAAAAAGAAAATTTTCTTGATAAATTTGTTTTTACTATTATTATTATTTTGATTAACATAGCATTCGAAACAAAAATATTCAGTATTGAAGTGAATAGAAGTGAAGAAACATCAAAAATTACCTATACTGTACCATTTAATAGTAATATTTGGGCTTATCATGATAGTCGTTTATGGTTACATGGTGATCGAGTAGCAGAACCAACTAATGATTTGTCACCAGCATTGACTGAGTAAGATTCTATTTGTGTTCATTTAGTTTAAGTAGTATATTTTTTGTTTTTTTTTCCTTGTTTTCAAGTGCATTTAGTCTAGTATTACCACTAGATGAAATCGAAAATGAATATGGTAATAATAGATTTTTCTATTGTCTTTTTTTTTGTTATCATTCATATCTATAGAAGAAACAATCGAATATTATTTGGATTCAATGTTAAATAATGATAATCAACATGAAATAGTAGATCAACGAACTAGTCAATGGATTGATGATATTCGAAGTGTAAATATAATATATTTATTGTTGATTGATTCAAATATTGATTTTTGTTAAATATAGTTTCTTGCCTATGTTCGAACGATAGAAATGCCATTAAGTCATGAAGCAGAATTTCTGTTGAAAAAATATTTTTGTGCATGTCGTCGAACTAAACGTACTCTATTTGCTTATACAGAACTTTCTGCTACATCCACTGATGTCTTGTAAGTCAATATATAATACTTTTTATTTGTCAAATTTTATTCAAATATAGAACAAAACTGTGTGAAGGTATAGCTAAATGTAATATTCATCTGGAAGCTACTGAATCTGATATGATTCTAGCAATTTATTTATTTGAAATTTCGACAATGACTCAACTTGGTATTTTGTTTTTTTTTGTCAATTCAATCTTCTGATAAGATTTTTCTCGCATAGGTTGTGAAAATCTCGTCAATGAAAAATATCGATTGCCACCTGTTCTTACTGATCCAATTTTAATTGATACTGTAAGTTTAAATAATTCTGTTGTTAGATATTCAATTATTTACATTGTATTATTTAGGTAGAACAACGTATGATTTTTTTCTCTCGAGACTTGGCTGCCTTTTGTGATGAATATACACCATCTTCGAATCATTATTAAAGATATGAATATCAATCAGTTTCGTTCTTCGAATGGCAATATATGATACTCATTAATAACTCTACTAATTGTGTGCTTTAGAAATGGATTCTTATTCATTTTTAGGTTACTTGATTAAATAAAATAAAATAATGACAGAGATAAAGGATCACTATTCTTTGAAAACCAGTTCAAATGTTTTTCTTTTTCTTGGAATTGCTACAAATACAGATAGTCAATGTCATAAGTTTTATTGCCGGAACGGATTTTCGCAGAGACAAAAACAAGCCATTAATTGCAATATTTCAGAAACAATGATGTAAAAATCATCTACATAAAAATAACTTGTATATTATTTATTTCTGAAAGTAAGAAAAACTAAATGGTTAATAATTTTGCCTTGAAAAATATTTTCAAAATTTCTATGTCATGGTATCTAATAGAAACTTTGCAGTGAATATTTACTGTTCGATTTGTTTCAACCAATAAAAGAAAATAGTTATAGACATTTCGTTTTTCAAGTTCTAGTATCAACCATCTTATTTTATTGGAAAAACTATTTTAATTCACAATTATTTCAGTTATAGTACGTATATTATTTTAAGAAATCAATTATATAATTTTCAATGAAATTCATTTTAAGAACCATGGCACCTTAACTATTATGTCGCAAATAAAGTTATACTGTTTATATTCACATTAATGTCAACAACAATTGCAATGATAAATATTATTTTAAGACCTAAATTATTTTCTTATGTAGATTACTCACAACAGCAGTTTCATCAGTAAACATAATTTAACAAATTATATTTAAATATTCAGAGGAAGAGCGAAAGAAAAAACTACCTCTCTCACTTATGAGAATACGATAATAATCTACGTTCTATAAACAAATTTACCATAGTTACGATTTCTTGGGAAGTTTTTAAGGGACTCCTTGAAGATTCTTTTATGAAAAGTTCAATAGAGTCATTTATTCACCAATTTTAAAAATACTTATTGATTAGTCGTAATTTTTTATGCGAATCGGTGAAAAGCGGCAGTTTTGCGATTTCATCGTGATATAATCTCTGAAGTAATCGGCCATATACATTACAATGAAATCACCGATTTTTTGCACGATCCTAATAATATGCGTAATGTGTCGGTTGATTCGAACAAATAATTTGCTGAAAATTCTCTATTAATTAGCCTATTTTGTTTTCATTTTTACGTCAATCTCTTGAGTAGGGAATGCAAAATCATGAAAAGCATTCAAACTTATGTATGTAAGAAAAAATCATTTTCATTATATAAACTCTATTATGATTAAATGTATTTCCAATCTATTTTAGTGCATTATGTAGTCTGTGTCTCATACAATCTCAAGCATCATCTTAATCAGGTCATTACGTTAGAATAATGTGAAAAAAAAATTGAAAAATATGAATTCGCTTAAATTTATGTCGCCAATCTGATTTATAAGGATAGTCTCATTTGTTACATTTTTTTAATCATGTATCTATTTACTTAGACTGGATAGAATTTACTTAATGAAATTATAGACGGCGCGTCATATACTATGCCACAAGAAGATCGTTCAAGTTTTATTCTTCAAGGTTTTGAACCATCCGCTGTTCGACTTAAACGTAAACTTCGTCTAATTCTCAATAAAAGTCTTCGACGAGATAAAATTAGTGATAAGAATGTTACTCTAAGTGAATTTATATTTTATTCAAGTCAGTGGTTAACTCAT